CATACGAGCATGTTTTTTTCGTCTTGTAATTCTCACAGGAATTTTATTACTACGACAAGCTGACTGAGACATACAATTGGAACCATTTAAGTTCGTATTAGCCGCATTAATTATGTTCTCGTAATTTTGCTGACTAGGTCTAGGTAATTCTCCCAGTCCGGAGGTCGATCTAGAGACAGTTTCTTCCGAAAATTCCGCTTCGGTTTAGTTTGTTTACTTTTGAAGTTTTTGCGACTACGGACTGTAGTCGCGGCTTAAATAAGTGGGCTTATTTAGGCCCAGCTATTTTCGCCTACCCTGGATTCCAGAGCCTTCGACAGTAAATAATAAATTGATTTCAATTTATTATTTACTGTCGAAGGCTCTGGAATCGAGGGTAATTTTCGCCGCGGCTTATTGCAAATTAACTGTTTATACGAGTCGTTCGCGACTATTTAAGCCGCGGCTTATTTAGGCCGCGGCTTATTTTCGCTCGTATAAATGGCTATATCGAGGTGAATATTCCCCGATAATCACCGAGCCTGAGGCGAATAATTGTTTTAGTATTTTTACACAAGCCTTTTGTGTTTTTGGGACTGAATATATATTTTAATTTCGCTTATTTCGCGTCGTCAAATCGCGTCCGGTCTGTGTCGATGAAAACGTGGAGTCGGTATAACATAATAGCTACCTTCTGCGTTGTAGTGACGCCAGTCTTTTAGCACAACAGAATATTGAAACATATTATATACAACAGATGCCGCCATTGCGCTGGCAAATGGCTGCCAAAGTTTTGTTTTCTCTTTACTTCCGTCAGCAAAATCCGACACTGCTTTAATTACAGCCCATTCTATGCCAAGATCATACACGGCAGCATATAAACCTAAAATTTAAGAACAAAAATGTAGACGTGTGTTCATGTCATAGGCATAACGCTAACCCATTTTGCAGTAATAGCGCATCAAGCCCAATCATGTTTTGGATTAAAAATCTCAGCTAATTTCTGTTCAGTATTAAAGACACTAGAAATCCCCCATTAAAGAGAAATGACAATATATTTTTTCTTTTCTCATTTGAAAAAACATTTAGGACTATATGTAATACTCTTTCACCGTTTTTTTCCATATCTTGCTTACTTCTACAAATATGTTGATCGAAAGGAATGAAATGTCCACCATCTTCAATTTTTGTAGATATGCATGTCACGCTACAACAGGGGTCACCAATATTTTATCTAGACAAACACTAATCATTTTGCACTCAAAACTATACTCTGTCTGCCATTCGAAATATCAAGATCACTTGAAACCTTTAAACATCTACCAATCAATATTTGGTTAGCAACGAATACTTTGATGCGGTTGATCCCTGTTGTGACAGGAAGCGATTATTTCGCTGGCCTCAGAGTGACAAAACGTAACAAAGCAACGGTTTTAGTAACACTAACACTAACCTTATTCCAAACACCAACTCTAACCCTAATCCTCGAGAATAAACTTGGAGTAGGGTTAGGTCAAGTTCCTTGAAGCAAAATTTTTGACGAAATGTCATTCTGAGGTCAGCGAAATAACTTCTTCCGTTGTGACGTCACCAAAACTACCGTTAATGAGATCAAAAATTTATCCAAGATGGCGGACATCTCATTACTTCAAGTGAAATTATTTCAAGAACTAAGCAAGATATGAACAATCGGTAAAAGAAGTTAATAATATATAGCTACAAAAGTCCTTTCAAATGAGAAAATAAAAATTTTATATTCTCATTTTCCTTTAAGTTCCCTCCCCCTCTGGAATTTGTTTTAACAGGTTGACAGATTGATACACCGTTCGAAGCCTAATTGGTGTGGAAGGCTTGAATGATGCGGGATGTTCCTACCTGCACCCTCAATTTCAAGACCAAGTGCGTCTGGGAACGAATTCAGTAACTCTTGTCGTCTTTCAAGATTATTAACTGAATCCGAGCCACTTAACATCACAGCGTCATGGTGAACTTCAACGTCTAAACTTTTCGGGTCTCTTAACGGTGGTTTCCAACCATCAGCTGCATTGAGGATAAGATGAGCCATATTTCTACTAACGTTCGGTTTAGTCCCGCCATACTCAACTGTACCATCTGCCTTGAATTTCTTATGATCATAAGTCGCTAGTTTGGCAGAAATCACGACATCGCCAAGTTTTGCCTTCGCCCGTTCCATGCTTGCGCAGATCCCGACAAAGAGGACTACTTTTGGGTGTAAAATTTCAGCGGCATTTCTCACTGGTATCACAGCCTCCGTCGGTCCCTGCCAAGATTTCATCAATGCAACTCTCACATTCGGGTTTTTCTGATCACCAAATCGACCAAAATCTACCATTCCCAGTTTCGCAGAATAACCTCGATGAACATGTTTCATATATGAATAGCAAGCATTGAATTCATGATCATTTGCTGTTATTAGCAGAATATCTGTTGGTAGTTGTGACTGAATCTCATTGCTTGAACAGTCGTATGGTTTACTAACAAAATCCCTCGCTGTCGGGAGTGTGATATTGAGTTCTGGTGGTGGTGCTATACGATCATTGCCTTCACAAAACATGATGATACAAATTACAAAGGCAACTCGTTGTACAAAGTTTTAATACAATTAACAACGATGATTTATCGTTGTATTCTCGGATTGCATGTAACGGCACGTGGGGGGTCAAGAAATTTATTTAAAGATACACACGTAACAATCTAACATCTTGTAACAAGTCTGCCAACAAGCCGTCAACAAGTTTGAAACAACTTGTTGACAACTTGTAACAACCTTGTCGAAATTATCAGACTTGTTGCAAGGTTGTTCTGCCAACTCCGTTACATGCTTGATGTAACAAGATTGTTACAACCTTGTGTTGACAACCTTGTAACATCCTTGTTGTATCATGGCTGTAACAAACTTGTTAGCACAGTCTTGTAACAAGGCTGATAATGCCATAAAGCTTGTTACAAGTTGTTAACAGCTTGTTCCAAACTTGTTACAACAACTGGGAACAAGCAGTGCGAACACAACTTGTTGACAGCTTGTGAACAGACTTGTAACAACTTGTTTGCAGGCTTGTTACAAGCTGTGCGTTTTTACGCATGTATATACAGGGTTATTGTTATAAAGAAATAATCGTTTATCATGTTAACTATTATTAAACCTTTCCAAAAAACCTTTGCATTCTCGTACACAGAGTCCTTGTTTTGAATCCGGTTTTGTCTATTTCGAGTCCGGGTTTTCAAAAGTCAAGTGTCGAGTCCAGATTTTGTTTCGAGTTGGGGTCCGGGTTTTTCTCGAGTCCGGATTTTCTTAGAGTCTGGGTTTCGAGGTATGCCCCGTGTCTGGGATAAAGGACGGCTTTTATAGTGTTTTATATTGGCTTTTTGGCACACCTATTCTTGCAGGTTTTGACCGAGTTATGTATGGTCGACAATGCGGACAATCTCGATTTTTGGATGTCGGATGTCTCATGACTCAAACTCGCGAAGATCTCTCGTACTTTGTGAAGTTGCCCTTTCGCACATGCAAGATGAAAATCTTGTATTGTTGACATTCCTTGGTTTAAACCTCGCTAGAATTTACTATCATATGAACATTTGCAGAAGCATCCTCTGAAAAGTTCCTAAAGAAACAAAGCTAGTAATAAAAAAGGATGTGCCGGAGCCAGATACCGGTATCCGGCAAAACTTAGACATCCATCAACATATAATAACAGTGCCGTAGCAAGCTCGATAATTAGGGGGGGGGGCTCATATTCATATATTCATGTTCTGCGTTACTAATTTCTTTTGAAATCGATTGTTTTTATGGTTTGTGAACACGAATATATGAATATGACCCCCCCCCCCAATTATCGAGCTTGTTACGGCCTTGAGTAAAATAGACTTTTATCACAGCCCTAGATGTCTGTTATAAAATTAATGCACTTTGAATAAATTAGGTACGCAGTACGTATACGTTGCATCATAATAAAAATAGGTACGCAGTGCGTATACGTTGCATCATAGATATAGGAGATCTAGATTGCTAACGCATACCTAGCGCAGGTGGGGCCTACATGATAAATCCAAGATGGCGGTACAACAGGGCAAAAAGACTATAGATTCTATTACGAAAATCAGGATTTTTGCATTTTTTGCCGTGGCATTGTTTCGAAACTTATTCGGTCAAATTTTATGGTAAAAAGAAACTTACCGCGAAGATTTTGAGCATATATATGATTGAATTGGATGAAAACTCGCAAAATTATCCATCGATAAAAGTTCGTGTGAAAATGGTCAGTTGGTCAGTTGGAGCGTTTTATTGACAGAAATACTGTGCTATGTTAACATCTAGCCTTGCGAATGGTGTTTTATACTTGCATCTCTCATCATCATCTGCTCTGTCCTCATAATTGTGAAAAATGAACTGTTATGTACCCCACCCCCCCTCCTTGCTTGTTAGAGAAGTAAACTGATGAGAGCACTGGATGAGGGTCTATCATCTATGGTCTGTTATAATTTGCTTTTTATGCAAATAGTGAGCAAAAATTAAAGCAAAACTGTACAAGTTACATATATAGTACTATATCAGTACTATACACGAACTTTTATCGATGGATAATTTTGCGAGTTTTTATCCAATTCAATCATATATATGCTCAAAATCTTCGCAGTAAGTTTCTCTTTACCATAAAATTTGACCGAATAAGTTTCAAAACAATGCGACGGCAAAGAATGCAAAAATCCTGATTTTCGTAATAGAATATATAGTCTTTTTGCCATGTTGTACCGCCATCTTGGATTTATCATGTGCTAGGTATGCGTTAGCAATCTAGATCTCCTATATCTATGGTTCTGACTACCCCGATTTTCGAGCAGGAGCTGCCAGAACAGACACGTGACACTGCCCATTTTCACGTGATCGGAAATGGAGGCGACAGATTTTGTGTATCCAATGCACACTGTATAGAGTGTTATTTTGAAGGGTTAACCGCTATATATCGACATATGCTTATTATATGCTATTTGAACGCCAGGGTTGGAAAAAATCAACGAGTAAAAACGTTACAAAAGCATACTTAGATATACAAATAACAGCAAATCATTATACGATTTATTATGCGAATAATAATTATATAATAATGCATGGTTGCACGCATATATAATAAACTAAATACTGTTCCAGAACACCGTGTGCACTCCATTTTATATCGTTCCAGAACAGTGCTCCAAATGTTCTAGAACAGTAAATGGAGCAGTCTCCAGAACAGTTCAGAACAGTCATGTGACTCTCTTCTGTTCCATTCCATTAGTGTTCCGAAAATCCTGAGTACTCCGAACAGTAAATGGAGCAGCTTGTAGATCTGACACGTTTTCTGTCGCGCATGTGCAAAAATTGCCATGACAACGAGTAATGTCTATATATATATATATATATATATATATATATATATATATATATATATATATATATATATATATATATATATATATATATATATATATATATATATATATATATATATATATATATATATATATATATATATATATATATATAATATATATATATATATATATATATATATATATATATATATATATATATATATATATATATATATATATATATATATATATATATATATATATATATATATATATACCGGGTGGCCCAAAAAAAAGTACTCCTGTTTGATTCGTAATAACATCTAAACAAGTATAGCTTTTAAAGAGAAATAACTTGCATCAAATAGAGGAAGGACTAACTTAGACTTTGATATATTACAGTTGTATTTCACTTAAAAATTCATGGAGATATTAATCTTTAAATTCGGGAGGATATTTCTGGATGTGTCTGAAATATGCAAAAATCGGCGTATCAAATATTAATCAAGATTTGCCCGACTGAAACATGCACTATTACCAGTAAATAAATGACACTTGACAAATTGTTTATTATGAAACAAAGTATTATTATATCTACAAAATACAAGCAAGATTCATTCGTCCGAAATTCGCGTGTGTTCCTAGCACGAATACGTTTCCTTATTTCATGAGACCACTGCATCGCGAAGGATCGTCATTGGATCGTTCGTAGTTCTGAATTAGGGCATGCTGTCACAACGGAATTGTGAAGCTCTTCTAACTTCTGCAACGTTCTGAAATCTTGTTAAGAACACCCAAACTCTTTTGCCGTTTCTTAATCTTGGCAAGTTCATGGAGTAAACTGAGAATTATATGAAACACAATCAAACCATACAACTCCATAAGACATAACAATTAAGCAACTCCCCAGAGACATGCAACATTTTTGGAACAAAACGTAACAAAATAGTAGCGTTGATACGGTGATGTGTATTTGCAAAAAGCAATATTATTTCCTTCAATAAAGAATATTCATCCTGCTCTAACCGAGAAATAATCTACTCAGTCTGTTTGAACCCATTAAAAACATAAAAAATTAGGCTATTTAAGAATACGAAAAATTTAAGCGCCTGCCTTCCATGGTCAGTCTTTCATGTACATTTAAGTTTGCAAAGACCTAATATTAAATACTTGCATAATTTCGAACGTTCATATTTCAGGAAACAATGAGCTAAGACTTACATGTAAGATGTCTAAATCTACGCCATATCCCTTACAAACCTTAACGATAATTCGCTGAAATACAAGTTAGCCTAATATGTCATTAAGCAAACAAACGCTGGAGTTAATATTTGATATGCCGATTTTCGCTAATTTTAGACACATTCCAAAATATGCTCCCCATTTTTAACATTAATATCTCCGTGAATTTTTAAGTTAAATACAACTGTAATATATCAAAATCTAAGTAGTCCTTCCTCTATTTAATGCAAGTTATTTCTCTTTAAAAACTTTACTTGTTTAGAAGTTATTACGAATCAAACAGGAGTACTTTTTTTTGGGCCACCCGGTATATTTATATATATAATATATATATATATATATATATATAATATATATATATATATATATATATATATATATATATATATATATATATATATATATATATATATATATATATATATATATATATATATATATATATATATATAGGGGGACTTGAATAATTAGGATATTGGGATGTTAGCTAGGTTTGTAATCCTTATCCCATAGCTGTGTTAAATGCGGCTTTCTGATTGGTCTAGAGCAGGTGAGCTTGTCGTCGAGCTCACCTGCTTTTTGTCGAGCTCACCTGCTTTTCGCCCGAACTCACCTGATAAACTGCTTACGTTGCAATAACAATAACAAATATGGCGGACAAGATTTAGCCGATAAACCTAAACTTTAAAGAACTTTTTTCGGTGACTAACATACTGAGACTGAAGACAAACCAAAGAAATAATGCAGTAAAGGTAATTTAGACGTAGATAAAGAAGTATTTTCTTGCCCAGTGATTTTTTTGGCCGGGAAAATGTTCACAAAACATCGACGAGACGACGAATATATCGCGAAGAGCTACAAATGTGTGTATGGCTCGGTGTATGGAATAAAAACCAAACGTACTTGCAGCTTCGGTGAGTCCGGGATTGGACGCACCTCGGGTGGCTGGAAGTTTCCCGA